CTTTTTGTTTTGTTTGTGTAATATATGACCAAAATCTCTGGAATAGATTACAAGTTGAGGGCATGATGATCTTTTTCTCTGCAGTTGGAAACTTCTAGTGGTTTACCTTAAAGGTGCTATTCATTTTTTCATGGAAAGTTAAGGAAGTTACTCTTCAATAATCTAGTTTTTCCCTTGTTTCTAGAACTAGGGACATAAAGCTTTCTTCCCACAAGTCTCTGTTTTGAACCTCCACAATGTCTAGGTCCCAGCACAGGTCCCTGTGTTCTGCTGTTGTGGCTCTGCTCTCTGCTGTGACAGCCCCATGGTCACTTGGCTCTGACAAGTGGCCCTTTCTCAAACGGCTTGGCATCATTAGTTATGTGAGTGGTGGTATAGAAATTTTGGTGTAGAGTAGGGAATAATAATTATAGCTCACACATACTGAGTACTTACTGTATGCCAAGCCCCGCTCTTGTTTTGTGTGTAGTAACCCTTCAATCTTGAAAAAAATCCTATGAGATGGGTTTTATTAATATCATTTTACAGATAAGGAAACTGACGCAGAAGAGATTTAACATTTTGCACACAGTCCCACAATTAGTCGACATCGATCTTTGAATGCTCAACAAGTGGTTACCCTGCAAGGCTTCACATTCTTTTCTTTTTTTCTTTTTTCTTCTTTTCTTTTCTTTTCTTTTCTTTTCTTTTCTTTTCTTTTCTTTTCGCGAGGCTTCACATTTCTTACTACGCAAGGATGATAATGATCTAGAGGCAGTTAAAAAGTATCCATTTACATTCAGACTATTTTGTCTTGGAAGGTTGCAAGTGAATAACATAACTGAAAAAATAAGCATCGCTCCCTAACAACATCAGGTAAATGAGGCCTTCTTGCATTTGGCTCCACAGACCATCTCTCTGGCAGCCAGATTGGCTGTTAATTGAAAATGCATCTGAGAAGAGAACCTCAAGGGCATAGGGGATGATGGTTTATCCCTTGAAAAAAAGATAGGAAAGTGTGTCTAAATTGAGTTCTTAAGCATATATATAAATATACACACACACACCCATATACACTTAAGAAAAAAGATTGAAAATTTTTAATAACCCAGAAAAGAAATAAGGTTTTCAGTTTTTGTTTCTGAGTCTTATAGTGCACTTAAGTTTCAGTATTTTCTTTTGCCACACAGACTACATTGAGCCCAGTTACGAGTAGGTTAATGAGAAGGAGTTACAGTTCTGAAACTGAAATCCGATTCTGTTTTTGTTTCATTTGATAGGAAAACAAATCATAGTTTTTCAGTAATCAGTGCTTGTCAGTTTTTCCTTTAAGATGTGTATTTTTCAGAAAATAAAAAAAATAAAAAAGGGGCTCCAGGGTGGCTCAGTCAGTTGAGCATCCGACTCTTGATTTCAGCTCAGGTCATGATCCCAGGGTCATGGGATCGAGCCCCTCATCAGATTTTGCACTGAGCATGGAGCCTGCTTAAGGTTCTCTCTTTCCCTCTTCCCCTCTCCCTCACTCACACACTCACTCTGTCTCTAAAATAAAATTTTAAAAAAGATGTATTTTTCTTCCTGCCATCATTCTTTATCTCATTCCTGGATAATACAATAGTCTTGTTAAGAACTAGTTAGTTCTTTACCTCTTGTTTTTAAATTCTGTATCCTGACCCTATTGATAAATAATATTAAAACATCAATTTTATTATGACATTTCCCTGCTTTAGAAACAAATTCTGATTTTCATATGATACGATTTTCATTTAACATCTTAAAAATTGGATATATTTTGGGGTGCCTGAGTGGCTCAGTCGGTTAAGCGTCCAACTTCGGCTCAGGTCATGATCTCTTCTTGGTCTGTGAGTTCAGGCCCCACATAGGGCTCTGTGCTGACAGCTCAGAGTCTGGAACCTGCTTCAGATTCTGTGTATCCCTTTCTCTCTGCCCCTCCCTGACTCACGCTGTGTGTGTGTGTGTGTGTGTGTGTGTGTGTGTGTGTGTGTGTGTCTCCCTCAAAAATAAATAAAACTTAAAAAAAAATAATAAAATTGGATATATTTTTACAGGCAAAATCTTTGTTTAAAAGACTTCAAGCTTCAACAACCTTTCTTTGCTTACTTTGACTAAAGAGATAAATACACCAAAACCCAAGTGTGGCTAGGTAAAGCAAAAGGGGATATGTTAGAATTCCTGGAATTTTACATGGAACCCTCAGGAGAGTGAAGACTTACACTTGGGAATGGGCAGGAATGAAGCATCTTTGGAGTCAGGAAGCAGGAACCATAGCAGCAGTCCCGCAGCACAGGTGTCCTTAGCCTCTCATCTGCCAGGACACAGTGGATGCCAGTCATTCTTCAGATCTGTGTCCCTCTGCCCAAGATGTCAGTCCCTGGGCCTTGCCCATCCAACACGAGTCAAGGGTCTGTTTTTAGTTTGTAGTTGTTTTTTGTCCAGTTTGACATTATGCATTAGATTGAAGAAATCTTTAATCCCAGTGAGTGATGCCGCATTTTTAGATTGAGGTTAAAAGCCCATCTGTGATGATGGAAGGAAAAGTAGGCATTCTCTCTCTAGTTTGTGGCTAGAAACGAAACAATAGATTCACGAAAAAGCTTCCACTTTGTTAAATATCTAGCTACGTAGAATATTGTACATTAGGGGCGCCTGGGTGGCGCAGTCGGTTAAGCGCCCGACTTCAGCCAGGTCACGATCTCGCGGTCTGTGAGTTCGAGCCCCGCGTCAGGCTCTGGGCTGATGGCTCAGAGCCTGGAGCCTGTTTCCGATTCTGTGTCTCCCTCTCTCTCTGCCCCTCCCCCGTTCATGCTCTGTCTCTCTCTGTCCCAAAAAAATAAATAAAAACGTTAAAAAAAAAAAATATTGTACATTAGTACATTCCTTTTAAATACCGGATACCTCAAAGAGCACTTGTACAATATTTAGCCGCTGGTTTCTCCCTTCAGCTACTCCCATTTTCATGTTAATGGTAAGCTGGTGGGCGGTTGTTTTGTGTGTCTCCCACCCTGTGGCACAGAATACATGTGAATATGTATGTATGTATTTATATATATTTTTAGATTTACATGTGTATATACTTGTAATTAATATGTAGATTGGCAGGTATAAAAAATGGTTGTGTGGCAGAATTTTGCAGTTTTGCATTTTTCATTCTAGTGCATCATGACTCCTGAGTCTCCCTAACTCTTCTTTATTTCTGATTCTGAGAAATGTACCATTAGCTGCCTGGTATTGACTCTGGCCCGGGATGGAATCATTGTTAAGATGTAGAGTAAAAACTTCACCGAGTTACGTATCACGAAAGAACAAATTACCTGTCTGTCCCATCTTCCTGATCATGGTCGGGGGAGTTACAGGAGCTGCTGAAATGGAATTCTGACACTGGGCATTATGCCCTCCCCTGGGCAACTAGAAGCTGTTTTTCTGCCAAGTTGACATCTGGTTTCTGAGGACCATGTGTGTCTTCCCTTCACCCCGACTCTGATCTAAATACTGATGGAGTGCACTCCAAGCAGTAATGACTCAGTGTAATAGAAGTGATAGACTTCTTTCAGAGTCTCCTTCACAGCTGTTTGCTGCTCTGAAATTATCCCTTTTTTTCTCCTATGTTTAAAAAAATTTTTTTTTAATTTATTTTGAGTGAGAGAGAATGTGAGTGGCAGAGGGGCAGAGAGAGAGGATCCCAAGCAGGCTCCACACTGACAGCGTGGGGTTCGATCCCACAAACTGTGAATTCATGACATTAGCCGAAATCAAGAGTTGGCTGCTTAACCAGCTGAGCCACCCAGACTGAGTACTTTCAAAAAAAGATGATAAGGGGGGAGGAGGAAAAAAAAAGATAAATGAAGGAGAAAAGCCAGAGTAGTTAACTTGTGTTAAGAAAGTTTGTACTCCTAGGAGCGCCTGAGTGGCAGGGTCGGTTAAGCGGCCGACTTCGGCTCAGGTCGAGATTTCACGGCTCGTGAGTTCCAGCCCCACATCGGGCTCTGGGCTGATAGCTCGGAGCCTGGAGCCTGCTTCTGATTCTGTGTCTCCCTCTCTCTCTGCCCCTCCCCTGCTCGGGCTCTGTCTCTGTCTCTCAAAAATAAACGTTAAAAAAAATGTTTAAAAACCAAAAAAGAAAGGTTGTACTCCTTTTGACCTGCAATTCTATTTCATATAATTTGCCTTTAGTCATAATCCTTAGTTGAAAGATATATGCAGAAAGTTCATTTCAGTTTTAGCTACTTAGTGAAAATGCGGCAATGACCTGTATTTGTAACCAGCTTACCAACTTAGTAAAGTGTGTATACACACACACACACACACACACACACACACACACACACACACACACACACACATGCAGTCACCAAAAGTAATGGCATAGTTTATTGACTGATTGATTTGTAATGAGATTTGTGATACAGAGTAATGTTTGTTATTGTCTGAGAAGCGAATTGCAGAGCGGCATTTATGTGCCCCCATCTGTATAGAGTGTACGTACACTTCTGTGTGTATCTTCACTTAGAGCAACATCTCGAAGTATGTTTAAACAGTGGTTATCTGGAGTGGGATTAGGAGAGTTCTTTACTAGTTGATAACCCATGCTGGGAACCAAAGCTATGATGTTGAAGGGCCTCTATCCCTTTAGTGATTTTTATACCATATTAATAGTTTTCGAGGAATTTTAATATTGTTACTAATAATTACGGTTCTTAAATCTCATTTCTAGTTTTTTTATATTATGGAACCTATGAAAACATGAGGACGACAGTTTGTTTTCTAACTCTACTAGACTTGAATATCTTAGTATTTTAATTGTGTCTTTAATTTAGGCCTTTTAGCACCCCTGCCTTAGTTTATTTGTTTTCTCAGGGTAGGGGCCATATTTGGTAAAGTTCATCTATGTATCATCTGGGATAGTATGTCCTGGAAATAAACATCCTTTTTTTTAAAAAATCCTTAAATGTGAAATATAGTCCCACTAGTTTGTGTAACAAATCATTTTTTTGTCTGTTCAGGTGTAGAGTTTGGTGCTCGAATGATAACTATTGATGGAAAACAGATAAAACTTCAGATATGGGATACGGTAAGTATAGCAAATACATTGTATGCCCTCAGTAAAGTTGTTCTATGAAAGTACAGTGTCTGTTTTGTTTTGTTTTGTTTTAATGTCGTTTTATGCCTATTATGATTTGTTAGGCACCAGCATCCACATAGCCGTGAGATGAAATGTGGTGCCAGAAAAGATTAGGTTTTCTTATGCAGTGTTTTCAACAGGTGTATCACAGGCCTTGGGTGTAGGTGAACGTGTCTGAACACATGCTCATGCTGTGTGGTCTAAATGGAAATGCTCCAGAAACTGTTTTTAAGAAAATAAAGCAGCATATCTAAAGTACACCTACGAAATAAAATATGAATGTAAACATGATAGAGTCACTTGATCTGACCGCTTATTAATTTTAAAAGTTTGGTTTAAAACATAAAAAATAGAAGTTTGATTTAGTCCCAACCACTTGAAGCAGCCTTGCTCCCAGCCCTAATTCTCCCTCCCATTTATGTTCACCGAGTGTCTGTTCCATGCTGTGCTATAGAGTTTTTAGTACCAGTTTGTGATCTAAACCGCACAACAGGATAGTTTTCTCTTTCCTCCCGACTTAAGTGTATAATAGAGAAGTTACTTTGTTACATACAATGGATACCTTAAGGTAACGGTTCTCAAACTTTTTGGTCTCAGAATCCCTTTCTTTATACTTTTAAAAATTAATGAGGACTCCAAAGAGCCTTTGCTTATGTGCCTTATAGCTATCAATATTTACATTACAAAACTGAGAAACTTATAAATACCCAATTAGTAATTCACTTGAAGATAAGTATAATAAACTTCTTATGTGTTAGGATCAACAAAGCAATTTTTATGAGAATTGACTGGTTTTCCAAAACAAAAACTTTATTTTTCTAGTGAGAAGAGTGTCATTTTGTTACGTTTTGAAAAACCTCTTCACTGTCTGCTTAATAGAAAACAGCTTGATGGGGCGCCTGGGTGGCGCAGTCAGTTAAGCGTCCGACTTCAGCCAGGTCACGATCTCGCGGTCCGGGAGTTCGAGCCCCGCGTCAGGCTCTGGGCTGATGGCTCAGAGCCTGGAGCCTGCTTCCGATTCTGTGTCTCCCTCTCTCTCTGCCCCTCCCCCGTTCATGCTCTGTCTCTCTCTGTCCCAAAAATAAATAAACATTGAAAAAAAAAAAAAGAAAAGAAAATGCAACCTCACACAAATAAGTAGTTGGGAAATGGAGAACCTCATGGACCCTTAAAGGGTTAGGGACTCCCGGGAGTCGTGGGATCACGCTTTGAGAACCACTGCCGTAGGGCAATTAGGACTTAATTCTTTACAGAACCCTAATTGAGAAAACCCAAAAGGTCGCCTGTTATGACAAAGCAAATTCTCTAAACTAGTAAATGAAATTTAAAAGATGGGGAATTTTATCATTATATTCCCCTGTCCGTTTTTTCTCTTGTCGCTCAGTCTTAGTTTCTTAGCTGTCACCTATAATAGTTATTGAAGAAAGGAACCTGGAGGATTCTCGGTCTCACAGATTGGAGAATATCTCACAAGAAGACCCAGCCAGTTGCTGCAGGCTGTTGTGACACCTAGGTTTCCTGATACTTCCTACATATCACATAGTAAATCCCTGAGATGGAAACCCCTAAATCTCTATCTTGCTCTGTTCCAGAGTTATATATTGAACTCCAGGTTCTTGTGGTTTCTTATCTCTTCTTTTTAAGTGAAGATTTATGCTTTTACTGTTTCTTAGCATTCCCCTCCCCCACCCCGAGCCTGTAGTGTCTCATAACTTTTTTGATTTATATTCTCTCGGGTGACATGATTTCAGAACTGCTTGGAAAAGAGAAAAATGAAATATGCAAAGTCCCTTCCTTCCTAGAGATTTAAAATTAATGCTCTCCAGCCGAAAGGAAGTATTCTCTCCTGTGTTAAAAGAGTTTATTCTTCTTTTTCAGAAGTGGGTGGTTTTATGTAAGCTAGCTTGCTTTCTTAGCTAATAAACTCGTGCAGGACACATCCTGCCGTGTAGGGTTGTGTGAACCAAACCACTTGCTCTTCTGTAATAAGTATGCCTTTCATACCTTGCACTTTGCATGAATACTTGCTGTGCTTGAAGTACGTTCCCCCTGTTTTCCATTTAAGACCAGCTCAGATGTCAATTCTGGAGCCTCTGTGACACCCATGAGATAGCTGATTCTCCCCATAATTTATGTATATTTCTGTTACAGCTCTGCTCCTGTTGTTATCATAGTTGTTTGTTCACCAGCCTCATAATAATCATGAGGGAAAGGACCCTCTGTATCCTACTCAACTTTGTATCTTGCATTCATAGTGTACTGACTGATGTTTGGTAAATTTTATTGAATGAGTAAGTAAAGAATCTCATTCTAAACAGTCTGTAGGATCATTGGATGCATTCAAGAGACGTTATTGCTAACATACATAGTTCATAGGGAAGGTTAATTTCATAGTGAAAATTATGTGACATTATAGACACAAAGCACCTTGTTGTGGTTTATTCTCATTTATCCGGTTGTCCTTCTGTCCTTGAGGTGTTCTCTTAAATAATTCCCTGCCCTCCAGTTTTTGAACCTTGAACAAGTCATTCATTCCCCAGTTGTTTCTGTTGTAGGTTAACTAGTCCTGTCTTTCCCCCCCTTGCTTATGAGTTGATTATTTTACATTTCAGTGATCTGTCAGAAGAAATCTGTTGTGTTATGTATTGAGCTCCAGGTTCTTGTGGTTATTTAATAATTGCTGTCATAATTGCTTATTTTGGACAGCATGAAAGAGAATTAGAAAAACAACAACACCTTGTTCATACTTCCTCTAGAAAGGCAGAGTGATAGTCTTCTTTCCTCTATCTAAAACGGAGAGACTGGTACCATTGAAGACATCATGACTCCCAGGAAAGAATTCCAGGCCTCCCGCATGGCAGGTGCTAGGCACCAGTAGCCTGTCTCAGATTTTAAAGAGTGTTCAGAAAACTTACTACTTTTGTTATGTATATATTTAAATCCAAGTTAGTTAACATATAGTGTAATAATGATTCCAGGAACAGAATTTAATGATTCATCACTTATGTAACACCCAATGCTCATCCCTACAAGTGCCCTCCTTAATGCCCGTTGCCTATTTACCCCATCCCCCCACCCAACACCCTGCCAGCAACCCTCAGTTTGTTCTCTGTATTTAAGAGTATTTATGGTTTGTCTCCTGCTCTATTTTTGTATTATTTTTGCTTGCCTTCCCTTATGTTCATGTTTTGTTTCTTAAATTCCACATAGGAGTGAAGTCATATGATGCTTGTCTTTCTCTGACTTTTTCGCTTAGCATAATACACTCTAGTTCCATCCACATTTTTGCAAATGGCAAGATTTCATTCTTTTTGATCAGTGAGTAATATTCCATTTTATGCATGTGTGTGTGTGTGTGTGTGTGCATACACACACACACACACAACCACACACACCACATCTTCTTTACCCATTCATCGATGGACATTTGGGCTCTTTCCATACTTTGGCTATTGTCGATAGTGCTGCTATAAACATTGGGTGCAGGCGTGCTTGCCGAAACAACGACTTTGTATCTTTAGTTCTATTAGTACAATTGCTCGGTCATAAGGTAGTTCTTGTTAACTTACTACTATTGAAAGTTGCTTCTTGAATCTCTGCCTTAGAGGTTTTCATCTTACTTTCGTACCTAACTTCCAAAACTGTTTTAATAGATGCTCTGTTACACACATTATGGTTCTTTCCACGCTTAGTTTTATATCTGAATGGAACATGGTTTCCGTATCGTTAATGTTTTGCAGCGTGCTTATACATTTGGATAGAAAACTACATTTTTAGTAGCAAGGATCGTGTCTATTCCTGGCTCAGAACATTTACAAAACCATCCTAGAGCCTTCAGGGAAAAATATGCCAAATATTATTATTTGTTTCATCAGCCTTAAAGAAGTGATTTTTTTTTCCCCAGTGACTCAGTATCTTAGGATGTTTGTCATCCACTGTATATCCATTTCCATTCACACAAAATAAGGAGTTTTCTCCCAGAATTTCCACATCCACCGTCTTTGCTTTTTTTTTTTTTTTTTTTTTTTTTTTTTTTTTTTTTTTTTTTTTTTTTTTTTTTTTTTTTTTGCCTTTTTGAAAATAGTAAGTATAGTTGCCAGCAGATAGTCCCCGGAGGGCTTGCTGGTAGCAGTGGTAACAGTGTAACAGTCCCTCCCTTAAAGCACTTTCCTTGGGCCTGTGCAAATTTTTTTTTTTCTTTTATCAGAAGTCGACTGTGTGATATTCTTAGTCTCTGTCAGGGTAAATCAAAGAAGAAAACAAATTGTAGCCAGTTCTTATTCCATGACTGATAGAAGGAGGAGGTAAGAAGTCCACTCTCGCTCTCACACCCTCATCCAGCTTTTACCCACTTTGTTTTGTGTTCTTACTCTTCTTTATGTTTTTTGTCACATTTTTCTTTCTTTCTTTCTTTCTTTCTTTCTTTCTTTCTTTCTTTCTTTCTTTCTTTCCTTTTCATTTCTTTTCTTTTCATTTCTTTTCTTTTCTTTTGTAGTTTAAGATTTTATTGCATTTCTTTTTCCCTTAGCATACATGTACCCCTGGAGGCATCAAATGAAAGTACTATTTTAACCTAACCTGGAACAGTTCTCATCTGAATCGATTGTGCCACCAACTTGATACAGTTAGATTCATTTGTTTGTTTGTTTTCAAGTTTTAGGGATTTCTCATTTCTTATTTTTTTGAATTACGAAACGTCAGATGTTTCCACAGTGCAGAACCTGAAACCGTGTGCATTCATAGCAGTCTGGCCTCCATCCTTGTCCCTTTTACCGTGTTCCCTTCTGAACTATTTCAGAGTTGCAGACGTCGTCCTTCATACCTCGGCACACATCCTCTAAGGGTATGCTCCCCCCTAAACTCAGTACCATTATCCCATCACAGATATTTAACGAAGACACTAAAATTGCCTTCTATACCAGTCTCCTGTTCCCAGTGTTCAAATTTCC